TCAATCGGTTCATGATCTTAATTTCTTAATTTCTCGAAATACAAATGTTAAATTCAATTACTATAATCTATTTTGTTATAGATAAAATGGAGAATGCTGGTGAGCAACGTATACTCCTTGATGAAGAGTAACAAGGGTAAGTAAGTAAAATCAAAAAAAGGAGTAACTCATTTGTTAAAGTAATCAATAAAATGGTGCCTTAAAACATTATAGTGGTGCGAGAAAAAAAGTGCTTTATATTTTTTTTGGATTATACTAAATGATTAACAGTACTATTGTATAGTTAATTGTTTGTCAGTTAAATGTCAACCAAAAATGTATCATATAAAAATGATTGAGTAAAATATTATTAGTATATTCATGGGTTTTTGTTTCATTATCACATGATATAAAATGTATTCAATGAAAAAAAAGAGTAAATGAAGTAATTTACAGTAAATGTCAGATGTAAATCATAATCAACGTCATCATCATCATCATCAAAGTCATCAACGTCATCATCATCATCAAAGTCATCAACGTCATCATCATCATCATCATCAAGTCATCAACGTCATCGTCATCATCATCAACGTCATCTTCATCATCATCGTCGTCAACATCATCGACGCTCATTCTTCGAACTGATATCAGTCATAAACCTTTACATATTGATGTAATTGTTTCATTGACTAACTATCAAGTTTGATGCAATACGACTTATTTGCTTACTTACTTATGCCTGTTACTCCTTGTGTAAGAGCATAGGCCGCCCACCAGCACTTTCCATCCAACCGTGTCTTGGACAATGCTTTCTAGATATTTCTAGTTGCTATTCATCCTTTTCATATCTGCTTTCATTTCTCGATGTAATGTGTTCTTTGACCTTCCTCTTTTCTACTTCCCTTCAAGATTCCATGTTAGGGTTTGTTTCGTGATACAGGTTGGTGATTTCCGTAATATATGTCCTGTACATTTCCATCGTCTTTTCCTAATTTCCTCTTCATTTGGAAGGTGGTTTGTTCTCTCCCACAGTAGGCTGCTGCTGATGGTATCTGGTCAGTGGATGTTGAGTAACTTGGGAAGACAACTGTTTATAAATACGTGTACTTCATTGATGATGGTTGTAGTAGTTCTCGAAGTTTCAGCTCCGTACAGTAGAACTGTCTTGACGTTCGTACTGAAGATTTTGACTTTGATATTGGTTGAGAAACAGTTGTTTTTAGTTCCATATGTTCTTTAGTTGTAGGATAAGGCACTTGCTTTGCCGATCCTCGTAATATAAAATCACGAATAAGTACTCTTCTGGAGAGTCAAATTTAGGCGAAACATCTGTTCGGTCTTTACAAGAGTTTCCAATCATTCAGTCATTCACACTTGATGGAGAAATTCTGGAATAGGTGGAATCTTCTACGTACCTGGACAGCATCATCGATTAAAACTTGGAATCCGAGACAAACGTAAAAACAAGGATCGGCAAAGCAAGGGTAGCATTCCAAAAATTGAGGAACATATGAAACTAAAAACAACTGTCCTTTAGTCAACATCAAAGTCACAATCTTTAATACGAGCGCCAAGACAGTCCTACGATACGGAGCCAAAACTTCGAGAACTACCACAGCTAGCATCAAAGAAGTACAAGCATTTCTAAACAATTGTCTATGCAAAATACCCAATATCCATTGGCCGGATACCATCAGTGACAACCTACTGTGAGAGAGAACAAATCAGAGCCGATATGATTAGAAAATTCGGGAAAGATTCTGAAGTTGAATAGGATGCATATTGAGGAAATCATCAAACTGCATTAAGAGACAAGCACTAACTTGAAATCCTGAAGCGAAGCAGAAAAGACGAAGACACTGATGGGAAATGGAAGCAGATATGAAAAAGATGAATAACAACTGGGAAGGATTGCCCAGGACAGGGTTGGATAAAGAGTGCTGATGGGCAGCCTATTCTCTTCCAAGAGGAGTAACAGGTATATGTATGAGTTAGAATTCTTGAAACTCCTAGAAAAAATTCCATATTGACTTTAGAGTTGTATCCACACACACAAGCTTTAGTAATAAAATTAGGTTTGAAATTGTTTGATCAATCAATTGTAGATATCTCAATCTGACAGGAAGCTAGTTTTGACCCCAACAGTTTATTCGTCACCACATTGGGATTATTAGTTACCACAAGAATCTGAATACACTTCGTTAATCAGTTCCAACTTGTCTAGGACTTAGATCAAACAAGGCATCTCGCCAATTACTTTTATGTTTTTACTATCGAACTGATACATAACAGTGACCTTGACAGAAAGTTCATTTATATTCATCAGCCTCAAATGTAATAATAACCTGTTTACATTATCAGGACAAGGTTTGTTGGAGAGTGCTGGTAGGCAGCCTAGGCTCCTTCACGAGGAGTAACAGGCGTAAGTAAGTAAGTAAGTAAGTAAGTAAGTAAGTAAGTAAGTAAGTAAGTAAGTAAGTAAGTAAGTAAGTAAGTAAGTAAGTAAGTAAGTAAGTAAGTAAGTAAGTAAGTAAGTAAGTAAGTAAGTAAGTAAGTAAGTAAGTAAGTAAGTAAGTAAGTAAGTAAGTAAGTAAGTAAGTAAGTAAGTAAGTAAGTAAGTAAGTAAGTAAGTAAGTAAGTAAGTAAGTAAGTAAGTAAGTAAGTAAGTAAGTAAGTAAGTAAGTAAGTAAGTAAGTAAGTAAGTAAGTAAGTAAGTAAGTAAGTAAGTAAGTAAGTAAGTAAGTAAGTAAGTAAGTAAGTAAGTAAGTAAGTAAGTAAGTAAGTAAGTAAGTAAGTAAGTAAGTAAGTAAGTAAGTAAGTAAGTAAGTAAGTAAGTAAGTAAGTAAGTAAGTAAGTAAGTAAGTAAGTAAGTAAGTAAGTAAGTAAGTAAGTAAGTAAGTAAGTAAGTAAGTAAGTAAGTAAGTAAGTAAGTAAGTAAGTAAGTAAGTAAGTAAGTAAGTAAGTAAGTAAGTAAGTAAGTAAGTAAGTAAGTAAGTAAGTAAGTAAGTAAGTAAGTAAGTAAGTAAGTAAGTAAGTAAGTAAGTAAGTAAGTAAGTAAGTAAGTAAGTAAGTAAGTAAGTAAGTAAGTAAGTAAGTAAGTAAGTAAGTAAGTAAGTAAGTAAGTAAGTAAGTAAGTAAGTAAGTAAGTAAGTAAGTAAGTAAGTAAGTAAGTAAGTAAGTAAGTAAGTAAGTAAGTAAGTAAGTAAGTAAGTAAGTAAGTAAGTAAGTAAGTAAGTAAGTAAGTAAGTAAGTAAGTAAGTAAGTAAGTAAGTAAGTAAGTAAGTAAGTAAGTAAGTAAGTAAGTAAGTAAGTAAGTAAGTAAGTAAGTAAGTAAGTAAGTAAGTAAGTAAGTAAGTAAGTAAGTAAGTAAGTAAGTAAGTAAGTAAGTAAGTAAGTAAGTAAGTAAGTAAGTAAGTAAGTAAGTAAGTAAGTAAGTAAGTAAGTAAGTAAGTAAGTAAGTAAGTAAGTAAGTAAGTAAGTAAGTAAGTAAGTAAGTAAGTAAGTAAGTAAGTAAGTAAGTAAGTAAGTAAGTAAGTAAGTAAGTGAGTAAGTAAGTAAGTAAGTAAGTATTCTCAATTATACATATTAAAAACTATCTAACTCTGCAGTAGTAGACTTCATATATTCCGTTTGTAAAAAAATAACACAAAACAGTCTATTTTTTGTGTTTGATTTGTTGAATATGGAAAGGAGTTATAACAAACTTTTTTTAAAAAAAAAGAAGAGAATTTGGTGATCCAAAGTTTGAATAACTCCGCCTGGAGTGATACATTCACCATTGTCTTCGTCCATGAGCTACTATCTCACAATAGACCCAGCTTCTTTCTGACGGACTAGAAACTGTTGGCTAAACTAATAACATCTATACACATTATAATACGTATATATATACACTTTTTAATACACTTCTATCAATAATTAAACATTATATCAAGGCCAGTCAATGTAAACTATACAAATATTCACTTATGCCAAGAATGATTGAAATCTGATATGTTTGTTTTCTTGATATACTAAAATATGATCAACTTGATAAATAGTTTTAATAAACACATCGATGGTGGGATTAGAATTTATGGACAAACCAATCAGATTTAGGATAAAAGGTCATAGATTTTGGCGCAAAATTTATTCATCCAATTTGGTTAAATAGAGTCTTGACATTTTAGATGATGTCAGTTCATGATGAAACTGATAAATCTCATTCTTAAACCTAACCATCAATTATAAATCGTTAACTTTGTTCTTCACACATGTTTATAATCCTTATTTACCTCTAGTAAATTGGTAGACATTCTCAAAGTCATTTGGAAGTCTCTTAAAGATCGTCTCATTGAAGAAAACTTCTTAGAATTGTTCAATAATGAATCATAGAAAGATGAAATACATAGATTATAAATGAGTAAAACTATTAAAATTTCAAAGAGAACATTAAAGTTACGATATAGATAGCATATTGAAATGGTGTATATCTAGATCTTTTCTAATTTACCCTATACATCAGCTAACACTTATTAGTGGTTGTATGCACATGGCCATGTGAGAGCATTTTGATAAGAAGAGATGATTCTCCCCCACTCTTGGCCGTACTAGAGCATTTGGGCAAATTATCAAATGTAAGGTGATGATCAACTCCACTATTATTCGAAACTTTGACTTTGCACTTGGGAGCCAACAAAAATGAAGTAGGAATTACTTTATTCTTTTTCATTTTTACTGCTTTATATAAAGAATGAAACGTTTTCTACAACAAAAAATACCACTCTATCATACTACAAATGTGTCAAGTATAAATTAATCAGTTATGATACAAGAAAAATGACAATATAACAAAAGTTATGCCTTCAGTTCATTCTATAGTAGAATGGAAACAACCGTAATTCCTGACTATGATACATTTAAATAAGACGAATAACACAAAGTATAAGAACATACAAAAAATACTGTCCAGATGATGATAGTAACCAATAATAATAATGATAATAATGACAGTAATAACAGTAGTACCAGTAACTCACTTTCCAATTACGTGTTGGAACAGTAATAGCAATCAATACTTTACATTCAGTTCCATTGGTTATTCGAATTGATGGTGATGGAGTACAATTAGTTGTTTCCAAAGGAAAATGTTGAATAGGCATGAATGTTGATTTTTCTTCAGTTATACTATTTTTGGTATATCTAAAACCGAAAAAAGAGAAAAAAATAGTTATGAAAAGAGATGAAATGCTTATTGTCATGTTTCCAGTGAAATATGTTGATTTCAGAATGGATAACATGATAAATATTTGAAAGCCCTCAAATTTCCTGGTATAGCCGAGGATGTGGAGAGTCAGCTCTCTCTCTCCCTCTCGAAATGCTCGTATACAACCACTGTCAGGGAAGTCCTACTCACTGCCATATCGAGGCGGAGGTATTATTTACGAAATTGAGAGAACGGAAGGTGAATGTACGGAGATTTAACCAGGTTGGTGAGTATGAAAGTTCCACCTAGGAGAGTTGAAAAACCCTGATTCTAAACCAATGGTGTACATGGGCTCCAGTATCCTGAAGGAACAAACGGCATATGAACCAATTCTTGGTCACCGGCTGCCATGGGACTGCATCTCCTGACATTCCTCGATTGCCTTGTGGATCAGACCTTTAGGTCGAATGCTCTGTGTATGGCCTCCTAAGAAAACCACCTGCTTCGGTTTGGGCACCTAGGCAGTATCACAGTCCGCACACAAATCAAGTGACTTTTGTGGCGTATATGTATTCGGTGCTCATTTTTTACCAATATTTATGTGTTCAAATAAGTAAAATAAATAAATATTTGAAAGCTGAAACACTGAATATAATCACTTTTAACTGATATCATATTCTGATATACTTGACCATATGATTACATAAATGACTACGTCAGCCTCAGAATCCAATACACAAGATATTATAATTAAGAAATTACAAAATTTGAAATAAATCACGTTCGAAACACATACTATTTCACTGAATTAAGTGTTTCTATATTTTAAATTCACTTGGTATTATTTGCTTGAACCTTCCCATTGATGTCTGGGACTGAAATCGATCAATTTCTTCTTGGGATATATGTCAACCCTGAGATGCAGGTACATTCAGTTGACGAGTCATTAATAGAACGAAACGCACGTCGTGCATTCTACTGCTAGCCACCATCATTTCTGTACATCATGCTTGTGACTTGAGGCAACATCGAGGTAATTCTCACAATATGCACATATGCCGACAACAGACTGATTAATTTCAGTCCTAAACATCAATGAGATGATTCAAGTAAACAATACCAAATGAATTTAAAATTCATCCCATTGCACAAGCAATTGGCTAACAGGACTCAGTAGCTAAATTGATAACGCAATGGCGTTTGAAGCGAACAGTTCCGTAGTGAACATCAACTCTGGGATGCAAGTACATCCAGTTGACGAGTCCTAAATAGAACGTAACGCGCGTTCTCAAGTCCACTGATACCTATCGCCTATCATCGCCTATAGTTTCTATATTTCGTTTTTAGCATTTCAAATGGTTTTTGTAATTCCTCTCTACAGAAAAAGCCACAGTTCAAGGTTAGGAGAAGTAATTTTAGTTTAGAAAGTGTACAAATAACTGGTACCTTTTATTCAATTATTCATAAAAAAACCATTTCAAATATTATTTATTTGAAGTAAGTTGTGTTGTCATTTTACTGAAAACAAGTAACAAAATCTGTCAGTCTCCATTGACGTGTATCCATACTGAACTGAATTTACCTTCTACTTAAAAGTACGTAGTACTTTTGATGCATGGTTAACAATGAAAGTTAGGACACAGAATATTTGTTAGTGCAAATCTAATCAGCTAGGTTTATCCTCAACTCTGTGGTGATAATCGAAATAGCGCTTAAAACTAATACCTATTACCTCAAATGTCAACATTTTTATCGGACGCCTGCTTCAGTCAGGGCTCCCTGGCACAATTTCAACCCCCACAAAAAACGAATTATTTGTACGGCACATATATATTTGATACATCCTTATGCCAATGTTTATGTGTTTAGATAAATAAAATAAACAAATTCCAACATGCTATTAGACACATTACAGATAACTTCATAACTATTGAACATGTTAGTGAATATGAAGACTTAATAGCTTAGTGAAATAGTTCATCGATGTTTGAAACAATAGGTATCGGGTTCTAGTTATAGTGTGATCATCCGTATTGAGGTGCAGATATACACAGCTGATGAATCCTAAATAGTCAGAAATACGCATCATATGTTTTGCTACAAAGAACAGTCTAAATGTCCAAGATTTAGCTAAAGAAATATTGACGCATTAAATTCTAAAAGAACCCTACCTAATTATGTCATCATGGTAATAGTTCACTGTATTTGACCAATTTCAGTTAACTGGAAGAATTTATTAAGTAAATCAAGGATGATCAAATACGTTTTTTTCACATCAGTTCATTAATATACCTCAGATATTGATATAAATAAAGTTGTAAAAATGAATTCCCGTCAGAATCTGAAGTGTATCGTTTTACTTAAATAATTATTCTTAAAGGATCCATCATATAAGTGGGATTAATAATAAGCTCAACCATGATAAGGTGTATTAACTGAATATTAATTTTGCTTTATATGAGTTTACTTCAATTAATGATTAAGATTATTAATGAATGGCTAATCGATAAATAAGCCTCCCACTGATGGTTCATCTGGACGATTTACAAAATACAATAAGATTAAATCAATGAATATATATAGTCTTAGCATGGGACTTGATCCCATACCTTTAAGTTACATAACAAGCACTTGACATTCAGACCGATGAGTTGGGTTTTATTTGTCTTTATTTTCAACTTTAATCAACCTTTAACGTTGCACAGCAAAAACAAATATCAAATCAAACAATCTTTGCGTTTTTTGCACAAAAATTGTATACTGACAACTGTCTAGTTTCGAGAGGGATTTCTAGAGTTCTGATAAGACCCAACCGTTGCTACTACCTTGATGTGGTGGTCGGGCTTGCCTATCGTGATAAAGCAATTGAGCTATACTGCCTGGAACAATCGTTTCTCAAGGTTCTACCATGCCAGGCAAGCCAGTTGAAAAGCGATGAGAATAAAAGCAGCAAACCCAAGGTCCGGGGACAAACTTGTACTGCTGAATGTACAGAAGTGTGACGGAAGTATGGTGTTTCCTTTAGACAACCAGTAAAACAGCAATGTTGCCTTCCTACAAAGGAAGAGTAGAGTTATAAAAGGTCGACGCTGTAAAATGCACACATCACCTTATCCAACGGATTTCCGCCTGCGTTGGTAAGGTTTCAACAAGTACGGAGCTAACACAAAAATTACCCACAAAATGGTCGTGTGTGACCGGTCTTGGGCAGTTATCTTTTACGCATCGCGTTCACGCTCGTATGTCGATTATATCAACTCTAACCGGATTTCCTTTTGAGATACCTCCAGAGAAACCCTTCCGTGGTGTGGGCAACCCTTCCTCAAGAAGCATAGGCTAGACACCAACATTCTTCATTCATCTCTGTCCTTTCCACTTATTTCCAGTTACTATTCATCCTTTTGATGTCTGTCTCAAACTCTCGACACAGTATGGTTTTTTGGCCTTCCACTTTTCCATTCGGGATTCCAAGTTAGTGTTTACCTCGTGATGCAATTTGATTATTTTCGTAACGTATGTTCTATCTACTTGGAGTGCGTTTCCCTAATTTCCTCATCAGATGGAAGATGGCTTGCTCCCTCCCATAAAAGGCTGTTGTTGATGGTATCCGGTGAATGAATATTGGGTATTTTGCATAGACAAATGTCTGGAAATACTTTTACTTCTTTGATGATGGTTGTGGTAGTTCTCGAATTTTCAGCACCGCACAGCAGAACTGTTTCGACTTTCGTATTGAAGATTGTGACTTTGATGTTGGCTGACAGACAGTTGTTTTTAGTCCCGTATGTTCTTGAACTGTAGGAATGTGGCCCTTGTTTTGTCAATTCTTGCCTTTACATCTGAATCGGATTTTCCTTGTTCATTGATTATGCTGTCCAAATAAATGGACGTTTCCATCTCTTCCAGAGTTTCTCCATCAAGCGTGATGTTGTATTTGAAGATCTTGCTTTATGTATGTTGAGTTCTACTACTTCGTAGACTGCTGCTAGACTGGTTGTCCTGACCTGGATTTGTTGGTGTGTATAGGATAGAAGAGCTAGTTAATCTGCGAATTCCAAATCGTCTAGCCGCATGCAAGCTGTTCATTACATTCCGTGCTTCCTTTTGAGATATGAAAGCCTTCATAATCTAGTCGACCAGTAGAAGAAAAAGAATGATGAAGTAAGCAGCCTTGTTTGATAACATTGCTCTCTTGGAACGCATCAGTCATTTGTCCTCCAAGCTATAGCTAATTTGAAACGAGAAAGAGCAGTTGATCCAGATTGATTAACTCTAGAGGTCTTTAAGGATGGTAGTTCAGTTTTAGAGACTAAGATGACTAATATATTAGCTAAGATCTGGGAACTAGACCTAATCCAATCTGACTGGTTGCAATCATCGGTCGTCCTAACATATAAGTAAGGATCCAAATCATCCTGTGATAACCACAAAGGGATTATTTTGACTAATAGAGTTTCTAACATACTAGCCTCAATAAATATCAAGTATCTAACAAAAACTGATGAACTACTAATACGAGAAAACCAGGTCATTTTCAGGCCTGGTCGTGGCTGCCACGATCACATATTCGCCATTCGTTTTATTTTAGAACAAATACAGCTTACCGCAGTCGAACAATGATGGTTTTTAGTGACTTAAAGGCAGAACTTGACTCTGCAGACCGAGAGACTCTGTGGCAGTGTCTTTCATTGAAATGTGTACCTCAAGAGTACACAAACCTTGTGGGAGCTCTTAGCTCAAATACCGCCAATAAAGTCAGAGCCAATGGAGAACTGTCATCTGATTTTTCAACCCCAAGTGGTGTCCGGCAAGGTTGTCCACTACTACTGCTGGAAACAAATTTCCCATAGTTCAAATTTTTGGTACTTGACCTCCCATAACTAGGCTCAATTATTGACTTAAAGTATACAGAAATTGTGAGATAAATATTAAGTTTGTCAACTTATCAGTAAAAACTAGTAGATTGGTCAGAGCGTTAAACGATCCAGTAGAATCTCAGAAAAAGAACGGTAACTGTACTACACTAGCCCAGCTATACATTATTTTATATCACACTACTGGATTCCGGTATATTACAAACTACAGCCAAAGAACCTATGCTTCTATACAAGTGGTTAGTGACTTCATGGCCTGATTAACTATATGTAACTTTCAGTCGATTCCCAGATATCATTTATCACTGAACGATTTACCAGGTGAATTACTAAACTTTTATTATGAAACTTTAAAAACGAGAATTAGTCAAAAGGAGCTTTACCTGACGCTGGACTACTCGTCGCACTATATTAAAAATGAACTTTATCACACAGAACACAGAGTCGCGTGAAGGTTGCTAAGTTTAAAGACAAAAATAAACACTACATTCATACTCAACTACTAATAAGTGATAAACGGAAATAAAAATTTGATTAGGATATTGTTTTACGACATTGAGCCTAATACTTCATACGGTGATGCTTTATGTCAACTTCTAACTTTACAGTTTTGTGGTCTCTCTGTACAACCTTTTAAAAGCAAACTTTTGCTTAATAGCCATTCAAAAAGTGATCACAGTTTCTTGATCAAGTAGCCTCAGGAGTTTACTCTCTAGTTTATTGTGGAAACAGACTAATTTTATTGTTATATGACCGATATAAATCCATAAATCAAGTTTAATCAGTTGATTGATTTTATGTTGGTGTTACGGTTATGCTCAAAGTGGCTTAAATATCAAGATTTTAAAACTTTTTGTAGCTGACAAGCCAAAGGATGTATTTTACAGCCAAATAATTCCGCAGTAAATTGTTTACTAGCTCATTTTGGTTTGTACTCTGGATGAACTAAAAATAACATATGCGGAAAGCCAGTACCGAAATACGCTCCATCTGTATGATGATGACGAGCAGATTTCGGTGTATAGGTATCTTGACATCTAGGACAATGTATCTTAACCATAGCTTCACCAGGAACGTCTGACAAACAGACTGGCAAACATGGTTGGCTTTCACAGTAAACTCAAGGGCAAGGACCGAAATCCCCTTGCTGCCATTTTGCCACCATAACAGAAATACCACGATTTGTCAGAATGTATCTAGAAAGTATTAGCCCATTAAGCATTCCAGCTGCTTGCTCAACGAGATCAGTATTTTTTGGATTACCAGAAGGGTCAGTTTCCAAATCAAGTATCACATCGAGAGCACCACGGTATTCACGAACTTGCTCTGACAAACCGGTAAGGTTGAATCGATCTTGGATGTAATCCTTCCCTTACTTCACAAAAGAACTCATTTCCACGTAGGCCGCAGAACCATGATATCTAAAAGATTTCATCACTGCTACTCATTTTTTATGTAGCACAATTCTCCAAAAGTTAGCTTTAGTATGGTAATCAGTCAAAATCTTTACCAGTTCAGATTGAATAATAAGCTGGCGAATGTGCTCAAAGTCCAACACTGTTTATGTTTATTATATTGCTTTCTTTTGATTACATTTATGCTTGGAGCTATCCACGTAATTTTTGTGGTTTGTCATCTATGCCAAAGACAAAAAACAAGAAAAAAGTAATTTTTGGAATTAACCTTATGGATTTTGTCCATCTTTTTAAGTCACCTAGTCAATGAATTAACTTCATTATACGCGCGAAGGGTAGCTAAGGTTGTACTATATTTCTATTGCAAGGAATTTGTACACTTTGAAAACAAATGAGCACTTGTTCTTGATAATAACGGTTCAACTATTGAGAGAAAAGTTGGATAATTTCTGGATCTTTCAGTTATGAAAATCTCAAAGATTATGTATTAAATACCATGAAACAAAACATTCCCGATTTTCATCGACAAAAATTTTATCGGAGTCAGAAACATGGCTATAATGCGAGAATTAACCGTGGTAATTTATTATTACTTCGATCTAAATTGTTAGACTGAAGCCATACAATATTTACAACAGTTGAGTGTGCTAAAGTAACTGCAAGTATATCAAGTCATATTAGTAAATATGTCGAGAACGTTCTCGTCTTGGTGTTTTCCTTTCAAGTTGTTTACTTTGTTCATCAAATCTATCTAATATTCTTGTGGAAATCTCGCTTATTGAATACGTGTAACCACAAAAACGTTTTCATGAGTATTAGAAGAGAAGGATGAAGGAATTCAGGCCCACAGTAAAACGTAAATCTGGCACCCGAAAGCCGTTAAACTTCAAACACATAATTTCAACTCACGACATTCGTTTGAGAATTGAGTAAAAAAGGAAATATCATCATTTCAACGCAACATATGAGATAAACTCATCTGAAATTCCAATATAAATTAACACAAAAAGATTAAAGTGAATTTTGCTGTTCATTAGCCACGACAAGTGACGTCCTTCGTCATATTATGTATTTTGTTGAGACGTGAAAACAATAGCATTAAATTACCTTGTCACTAACGAATACACAAGTTTAGTTTTAAAAAATCGGTGACCTCTGGCTGTGAAAAGTAAACATTTCAAACAATTCTCTAGGTTTGGGGTTGTTTACGGTTACTGTATCAAAAAATCGTAATTTTTCTGCTCACTTTTGCAATTCCAATTGATCCAGTGCATAAATTATGAGTTTGGCGAACAGCGGCATATGATATATTAATGTGTGAAAGCACAGTTCAAGCTGCTGACTATTGGAACAAATGCTGTTTAACTAACTAGCGTATCCTTCATCCTCAGTTTTAAAGTTTTTTTAATTTCAACTTTGCTTTTCGGAATTAGCGACATGTTTGTTCCTTGGGATCTATGGCTGAGTTACCTAGGAATATGGTTCTTGTTATATTTCTGTTACATAATAAGAGCCGAAACAAGCAGACGGTGGTAGAAGCCACATTTTGGTTGTTCTTTGGATAATTAGTTTTAGTTCCTAAATAGGTAAGGTGGTCTTCGAGCCCTAGAAAGGTTCCGCACTGGGTTTCATCATCATATTTCTTGTAGGATGTACTATAACTTACTGAATGCAACTGTGAAAGCGTTTTCATAGATCTTCGTGCAAAGCCCTTCGTTTTGCGTTTTCAGTCGGTCTCCCTTTAAGTGTTACTTGCTTCTGAAACATATGTGAGGTGTATTCGGGTGGAGAGAACTATGTAGATTACGTCATCATGATCATATATTATCTAATTCTCCCAAACTAGGCTGACTTCATGTTATGAGCTCTGAGGATAGCTTAGTGACACGTTTCGGTACCACTGCCTTTTCGGTTCTTTTTCTTTTTATACGTTTCAGAAGAGTAATTTTGTTCCTGAGGTAAGGAAATACAATCCAGTACCTTTCGCTAAATGATGTCTTAAGTAAGCACTAAAAACATTTTTGAACAGATCTAGAGTGAAGTTACCAACTCTACTAAAATGCAATCCCAAGCGTCAGCATGCGTTTTGAATGTAAATTGTCAGTGGAAAGAGACAATGGTCAATTTCAGTGGAGAAAAGTGTGGCACTGATATCTCCTATGAATTACGTCTATGGACTATCATTGCCGTTCATCATTATCATCCTATACTAATTGGTTATAAGGGGGAAGGAAGTTTTAGGTGGTCCAGCCTTTTATCTTATGCAAGTCTTTTTGAAAAATTACAATATCAGTTGATCCAACCATCTCTGTCCTTGCGTAACGATCATCCACGTATATAAGTTTGAAATTCTTAAGAATTAAACAGGATGATCATGTACAATAATAAGAAGAATGGCCTTCAGGTTGAGCCCTGTATCAGAAAGCCAGTTTGACATATGATAAGGAAGCACATTGAGAGAAAAGTTGGATAATTTCTGGATCTTTCAGTTATGAAAATCTCAAAGATTATGTATTAAATACCATGAAACAAAACATTCCCGATTTTCATCGACAAAAATTTTATCGGAGTCAGAAACATGGCTATAATGCGAGAATTAACCGTGGTAATTTATTATTACTTCGATCTAAATTGTTAGACTGAAGCCATACAATATTTACAACAGTTGAGTGTGCTAAAGTAACTGCAAGTATATCAAGTCATATTAGTAAATATGTCGAGAACGTTCTCGTCTTGGTGTTTTCCTTTCAAGTTGTTTACTTTGTTCATCAAATCTATCTAATATTCTTGTGGAAATCTCGCTTATTGAATACGTGTAACCACAAAAACGTTTTCATGAGTATTAGAAGAGAAGGATGAAGGAATTCAGGCCCACAGTAAAACGTAAATCTGGCACCCGAAAGCCGTTAAACTTCAAACACATAATTTCAACTCACGACATTCGTTTGAGAATTGAGTAAAAAAGGAAATATCATCATTTCAACGCAACATATGAGATAAACTCATCTGAAATTCCAATATAAATTAACACAAAAAGATTAAAGTGAATTTTGCTGTTCATTAGCCACGACAAGTGACGTCCTTCGTCATATTATGTATTTTGTTGAGACGTGAAAACAATAGCATTAAATTACCTTGTCACTAACGAATACACAAGTTTAGTTTTAAAAAATCGGTGACCTCTGGCTGTGAAAAGTAAACATTTCAAACAATTCTCTAGGTTTGGGGTTGTTTACGGTTACTGTATCAAAAAATCGTAATTTTTCTGCTCACTTTTGCAATTCCAATTGATCCAGTGCATAAATTATGAGTTTGGCGAACAGCGGCATATGATATATTAATGTGTGAAAGCACAGTTCAAGCTGCTGACTATTGGAACAAATGCTGTTTAACTAACTAGCGTATCCTTCATCCTCAGTTTTAAAGTTTTTTTAATTTCAACTTTGCTTTTCGGAATTAGCGACATGTTTGTTCCTTGGGATCTATGGCTGAGTTACCTAGGAATATGGTTCTTGTTATATTTCTGTTACATAATAAGAGCCGAAACAAGCAGACGGTGGTAGAAGCCACATTTTGGTTGTTCTTTGGATAATTAGTTTTAGTTCCTAAATAGGTAAGGTGGTCTTCGAGCCCTAGAAAGGTTCCGCACTGGGTTTCATCATCATATTTCTTGTAGGATGTACTATAACTTACTGAATGCAACTGTGAAAGCGTTTTCATAGATCTTCGTGCAAAGCCCTTCGTTTTGCGTTTTCAGTCGGTCTCCCTTTAAGTGTTACTTGCTTCTGAAACATATGTGAGGTGTATTCGGGTGGAGAGAACTATGTAGATTACGTCATCATGATCATATATTATCTAATTCTCCCAAACTAGGCTGACTTCATGTTATGAGCTCTGAGGATAGCTTAGTGACACGTTTCGGTACCACTGCCTTTTCGGTTCTTTTTCTTTTTATACGTTTCAGAAGAGTAATTTTGTTCCTGAGGTAAGGAAATACAATCCAGTACCTTTCGCTAAATGATGTCTTAAGTAAGCACTAAAAACATTTTTGAACAGATCTAGAGTGAAGTTACCAACTCTACTAAAATGCAATCCCAAGCGTCAGCATGCGTTTTGAATGTAAATTGTCAGTGGAAAGAGACAATGGTCAATTTCAGTGGAGAAAAGTGTGGCACTGATATCTCCTATGAATTACGTCTATGGACTATCATTGCCGTTCATCATTATCATCCTATACTAATTGGTTATAAGGGGGAAGGAAGTTTTAGGTGGTCCAGCCTTTTATCTTATGCAAGTCTTTTTGAAAAATTACAATATCAGTTGATCCAACCATCTCTGTCCTTGCGTAACGATCATCCACGTATATAAGTTTGAAATTCTTAAGAATTAAACAGGATGATCATGTACAATAATAAGAAGAATGGCCTTCAGGTTGAGCCCTGTATCAGAAAGCCAGTTTGACATATGATAAGGAAGCACATTTAGTTGTCGAAAGCACTTTTGAAACTTTACTGAGATATCAGTGATCTAATATGTCACGTTTTTAGTGGAGCCCTTCAATCATGTGATGAGCAGGATAAGATATACACACATACGCTCATATGAAAAAAGTGAATGTTGATAAGTGGGTAATCAACAAGGTCAAAAAGTGATCAAGAATAATGAATAGATCGGCCCGTTCAGAAACTAGAATATTATGTGTATGCTGAGCATATCAACGGACACTAACATTTCAACCGAGGGTCCCAACAGTTTTGATGAAAATCCTTCATCATTGCATTCTGTCGGGCAGAGAGTTTCTTGAGACACTAAACAATCGATGATTTTTTGAAAAACCTTCCTTCGTTTCATATCACTCTTCAGTTAATAACAGTTGTTTACTCCTGATCAACAATCTAAACCAAACCTCGATGATTATCGAATTCAAACTCAGAGAAATGATATGTCCAAGAAAACGTTAGGAGAGATTTACAATTCTACAACAAGCTGACATACTTTCCTAGCTTGTCAGTCGTTCTTTAGACCACTACTTGCAAGATCTCAGAGGAACATGAAGCCATCAGTTTCAATCTCAATAGTTGCAATGATGGTCTTACTCAAACTTTCTTTATCTCATGTCGTTAGGAGGACATTTATTCATGTGTTGAGGTTACGGGCTCCACTCATTGATAATATGATGTGAAAGTAAATG